GCCAAAGCCATGAGCGCAGAGCCAAGCTCGTGGGAGCTGGGTCCTGCCCTCACTCTTCATCACGGAAGCCAAGGGGGGTGGGCTTTCTGCTGCCGCTTCCTCAGTTCTAACAGAACCAGAACAGAAGTAACAGACTGTCGTGGACTGTATAATGTGTCCCCTCCCTTCCCAGGGACAGGAATGCTAATTCCTGGAATCCGTGACAACTGATTTGAGAGGAGTTTGAAGAAATAACTCAAGTCACCTTTATTTCCAGCCTCAGCCAGATGTTGCCGAAACACAGACATTTTGACTTTAAAGAATCATATTTGAGTTTTATTGCATAAACAGTCATCAAGATCTTTAACATTTTTATTTGTTTATTTAATCATCGTTATTGTTAGGACTGGTGGCACATGTCTGTAGTCACACAGGGAGCAGAGGCAGGAGAATCACGAGTTTGAGGGAATATTGAAAGAGACAGTAAGTTCACGGCCAGCCTGAACTACTTGGTCAAGTCCTAACTGAACATCTGGGGGTGGGGATGTAGCTCAGTGGTAGAGTGCTTGCCTAGAATGCACAAGCTCTGGGTTTGATACTCACTATCTCAAAAAAATTTTTTTTTCTTTTCAGCAAAAGCACATATAACCCAGAAGTTCATGGCTGTTTTTAAAAAAATATGTATTATCCAGTTCCATGATACATTTGAAGATGTTACAATTGCGCTCCTATACCTAGAAAAAGGAATACTTGTGTTTTGTTTCTTTGGCTACTGAGCTGGGGGTCTTCGGGTAAATTACTTCCCACTCTGAGCATATTAGCTGATTCTCCTGTGGGACTCTCAGTGGCTCTCAGGTACATCGACTCATCTAGGTCCTTGGTACCAGTTTACAGTTCCAGCTTCCGTCTTGGGTCCGTTAAATCAGATTGTCTAACGCTGACATTCATATGTTTTTTTTTTTTTCCCCTGGGGTTTATTTGTTTCTTGAGACAGTGTCTTATTTTGTAATCCAGTCTGCCCTTGAATTCACAAAAATCCTGCTGTCTCAGCCCCCCTAAGCATTGGGATTATAGGCATGAGACACCATGCCCAGCTTCCACACACACACACACACATATATATAATATATGTAATATATTTGTTTTATATATATTAGATTTATTTATCTTATTTTATGTGTAGTGGTGTTTTGTCTGCCTGTCTGTACGTACACTATATGCATGCTTGGTACCTATGGAGACCGGAAGAGGGCATCGGCTCCCCTGGAACTGGAATTATGGATGGTTGTGAGACACTGTATGGATACTGGGGATCTAACCAGGATCCTCGGAGCAACAAGTGCTGCCAGGCTCCGAGCCTTCTCTCCAGCCCCAACCATATGCATTTTAATTAAGTGAGTAAATATGATAGAGTCCAAGTTTGGGAACTATTACGTTGTAACTCGAGGGTCCTTCAAATTTTCATTTTCTGATTTCTGTCCCTCCTACCACTGTCCTATCTCTGTTTCTAGCTATAAAACACAAAATAAACAATAAAAAACCCAAGATCATGATTTCATCATCCTCCTGTACCCCCAGAACCTCAGTGCCTGGTAGGTATGCACTTAATAAATACTTGAAACATTAATCAACGGTGACTAAAGAAGTGAGTGTTATATGGATCCCAGTCATCTACAGATGAGAAACACAAAGAAAAGTAAATGACTTAAAGCATCTCTGGATATGCTCTGGCAGTTCTGGCTTCTGTATTACACATTTCGGAATATGCACAAATCAGTGCTTGCGCAGAGATCTGTGGGGAGGGGGCCGAGATTCTCCCGTGGGCTAGAATATCCGGTGGTGTTTTGTAGAGGTGGCCACAGCTTGTCATTCAACAGAAGCCACATTTTTTTTCTCCTTGACTTTTCCAGGGCCAGGACCACTTGTACCTGCCTTGATGAGAGGTGTCTTGGGGCCTACATTGGAACTCTCTAAATCAGCCAGGGCTACATCAGGTTTCTGGAGGCCCCAGCAGAAGCGGGGAGACATAAACCAGCAGTGGGGGTCAGATGCCCACAAGATATAACAATGCCTCTTGTGATGCCACAGTCTTTTGTCCCTCCTCTGAACCCCACTGGCCACCCCTTCTGCTCCCCAGCTCAAACACTGTCTGCTGGCCTCGGCAAGTATCGGCTCAGGATGAAATCTGTCACAGAGGCAGGCAACTTAGCCAGGGGGATATAGAGAAGCTTGACATCCAGGCCAGGGTTGTAGCGGATTCGGGGGCTCCTGGAGACAATGGCATGCTCCATGCTGTTGGTGACATTGCTGATGTTCGTATACGCCCGCTGCATCAAGTTATCCAGCTTTTCAGTATCTGTTTGGGACATCGGGGTGAAAGAAAAATAGAAAAAAACCTCTATTAGTCTTAAAAAAAAAAAAAACAACTCCCCCACCCCGAATTCCATCCAAGCTCCCTGTCTGTCAGAAGTCTGATTCAGCGTCCCTCACCTAAACACCCATTTACAGGATCATTATAACATCTTATTTCTCTTTCTAAACACTAGAGTGGCGTCTGGCAGTCTCACTGTCTGATTAGATGACCTACAAAAAGAGCTTGCCCGGTGCTTTAACAACAAACCACTTCGCGGCTGTCTGACCTGGAACACAGGCTTTGGTTTTCTGAAAATGGGGGTGAGGACACGGCCCCAAGAGAAGAGCACAGAGGACTGCCACCATTCTGTTTCTGCGTCACCTAAAGGGAAGACTCATTTGGCTCATGGTGGCAGAGGTCACGATCCACACCGCCACTTGGTCCTGCCAAGCATCGGGGGTGGGGGTGGGATGGGGGGAATTAGGGGGTGGGATAGGGGATGGGGAATGGTGGTGGTGGCGGTGGCGGTGGCGGCGGCGGTGACGGCGGCGGTGGTGGCCTGAGAAGCTGCTCTCCTCACGGTGTCCAAGAAGGAGCAAGGGATGGAGGAGAGGGAAGGAGGGACAGAGGGTACAGGGACAAAATGTAGCCCCCAAAGGCATGCCCCTAAGGACACACCCACTTTTCCAAGGAGGGCCAGGTAAGTCTGCATCATCCCCCACACCCCGGCA